ACTTGGCTGTGTAAGGCAGAAAGTGTTTGTGGTTTGAAGGAAGCATGTTCTTTGGAGTTATTAATCTGCAGTGAGAATCAGTGTTAACATACTTCAGCACTGCTTAGGTTCACACAGGTTTGGTACCCTCATTATGTATCTTTCTTTGCTGCTTTAATCAGTAATGACTGTGATGATAGCACGTTCTGCTGGTTGAGAGTGTGGGTTTCTCAAACATCATGTGATTTCTACATATAAAATCAAATATTAGTTCAATAGGAGCACAGGATACATTCACCCAAGGCTGTTCAGAGTGTCTTTGGGATCTTCAGGCAGGCAGGGTCCACAGCAAAGCCCAGACCTTGTGGCTGCTGACAGCCATGAGAAAGGGTGTCCTGGTGCCTCCCCTTCCAGGGGAGCTGGACACTCTGCACTGGTCTCCCAAAGAGCACAGGCAATAGCTGTGCTCCGAGATGGGTATGACTTCAAGGCAAATTAATTGGATTAGTGCTAGTGTATGCCATAACAGCCGAGTATATCTGTACAGCAGCTCTTCGCTGATACACGCTCTTAAGTGCGACCTTTGCAATTGCAGGCTGGCTCAGAGAAGTCTCTTGAGCTCCACTCTGTGGAGTATTTGCAGAGCTGAACCTCTTCTAATAGGGTAGACGGAGCCTTCTCTGTGAATCCAGATAGCTGGTGGTTTGGTGATGTCAGTTGTGTCTTCACACTGCTACAGCAGCTCTCGTGGTTGACCATCATGGATCAGGGAGCACAGGGCACGCAGATGCTCAGGGAACCAAGAAGAGAGTTTTGTGGGGCAGCAGCAAAGGGGTTTTGCGTGGGATCTGCCATCCCTTTCTGTTGGTGGAGACAAAAGTGACTGCACTGCAGCAGGGCTGCATTAGCATTAGCAGCTGGGCTCTGTGCAGGCAGCTTTGCTGTTGTGCCAGTGTTGAGTATTATCGGTGTTCAGCTAGTACCAAAGAATGCATTTCCTATACCAGTACTTTGATAATGCCTGAAAAGCAGCAGGAAAGGGACCAGGCCAATTCCTACTTGGTTTCCCCACTCTACAGTTTGTGGTTCCCGCCAGTGTGTGTCCTCTAAGTACCTGGTCCTGTTGTGGAAATACAGCCTGTGTTGTGTGGGCCCTTGGCTGGTGGTATCTGTGGATCGTGAAAGTGGAGATGTTGAAAGGGAAGTTGTGAGGGTGGTGAGCTGGTAGCAGAAGCCATCAGTGGCAATGCGGCAAATGAGGTTTTGTCTCTTGTTAATGACAGGAGAGGTAATAATCCCTCTACTGCACTAACTACAGCCAGTGAAAATATGGTAATGAAAATAAGCCCACTGCCAGTATCTGAACAGTTACAATTTGCATTTATAAAGAGGCTTATGTGAATAGCGATTCTTGTTTTGTACATGGCTCTCTTTTGTCCCATCTATTCTGATCTCAGCAAATGCTGGTGTAATTGATCACAGAGGATTAAATGCTGCAGGGAAAGGACCAGGAAATCATGTAAAAGGAAAACTCTGGTTGGTTTTGACTTAAAGTAAACTCGGGTTATGTGTCACAAAGAACATGCTGCCTGCTCAGTCATCATAATGCCCACCAGCACTTCCCAGAGCTGCATATGGTTGTCTGCCAGTAACACACACAATAAACTCTCACTATTAGTTTACGTTGTCCTGGATGCCTGGAGTGAATAATTCCAATTACTGGAATTATTATTATTATTATTGTTAGTAGTAGTAGTAGTAGATTTATGCCCTCTACCCTTTGGGTTTGGCCAGTGATGGTAATGAAGATGTAGTTTTGTTGGCAGATCAGCCTAAATTCCTGCAAAAGCTGCTCCTGTAACTGCTCGTAGTCGAATATTTGATATGTATTTTGTATTCTCTCTTTGCTATTGCAGTCCCTGATGATATCTCATCTTTATTCTCCAAAATAAAGCCTCTTAGCTAATGAGTTCCCTAATGATTATGTGAGTGATTCCTGCTTGAACAATTGCTACTCTTTGCTATGAAGGGGCAGGCTTGGAACAGACTTTTGCATTTGGTTCTTATTCTTTCACATTTTGTGTTGGTATTTTTTGTTTCTTGAAGTTTTGGGGGTTTATTTTAATGCCTTGTAAATCATCACCTCCTTGCAGGGCTGTTAGACCAGAAGTATCTTAATGGAACTTGGTGAGTTTGAATGGTAGTTATGCCTGCTTGGTGTCACCTCTTTCTCTTGATGTAGATAGTGACAAATACTAGTGATTAGTGAGCACCATTAAGATCCTAGTGAGGTGCTGAATCCCTGGAGCGACCTAGTTATTTAAGCACCTGAATGCTTCCTGTGGGATCCCTTAGGGTTGCCCCATTAAATGTGTTTTGCAGGTCCTCTACAGAGAACTTTGTCTTCACACTTGTTGCTGCTGTGACTGCAGCAGCTGTGGTCTGTTTACCCTTTTTCTAGCCAGAACTGAATAGTTATCAAACTAGAGTGATTTTAACTTAAACTCAACAGTAGCCGTGGATAGGAATGAAGCCTCTAGCAGCCCTATTCATTAGCAGCCACTTCCCCTCAAGTTATCAGGAATGGTTTGCAGTGTGTGGACAAACTATGCTGTGGTGGGGAGGGTGATGGAGACACAAACTGAATGCTGAGCTGCCCTTTTTCCAGGAGGCAAAGGAAAAGGACTGATATTTTTCTCTTTTATAACAAGGCCAGGTTGGATGGGGCTTGGAGCAACCTGGTCTAGTGGAAGGTGTCCCTGCACATGGCAGGGTTTGGAACTGGATGAGCTCTAAGGTCCCTTCCAGCCTCAACTGTTCTATTGATTCTGTGACAAGGGGTATATGTGAATACATTTAAAACACTTGTTTTACATTTAAAAATTAAATTAAATTTTAAGTTAAAAAATTTAAAAGCATTTGTTGCTGGTTTTGTGTTTTTTCTCTAGATAGCCCCTGATAACACACGAAACATCTGTGGCTTCCAGTAATGTCTCTGTTCTGAGCACTGTCATGAAGAGGAATGAAGAAGAAAAACACTTGAGCAAGGAAATAATTTGAGGTCTGCTTGGTTATAGTGAGCTTCAAGAAACCTGGTGTAACTTTAGCCCTGAGTGCAGGGTCAGCTCTCACAACAAGCTGCGAGCAGCCAATATCACTGCTTCCCAGGCTGCAGTGTTTCAGGTATTCCAGCAAAACATTGCTCTTTGCAGTGCTCCTTAGCGCAGGTCTGCAATCTGTACTCCTCTCTCAGCTTTCAGACCTCATCACAAAGAGAGGGGTGTTGTCAAAGCGGTGAGCACAACACTATCCATCATCCTTATGGAGCCAGGAGAGCTGAGACAGTGGTCTCGGAGAGCCTGGAAATTAAAACTGATGGATATCAAATGGAAAGAACATTTTAATTTAGCACTGAGGGCAATCAGACACCAAAACAACAAAGGAAAAGCAAAATAAATCCTTTATTGCTGGAGACCTTAAAGCCAGTATCCTGAAAGAAGACTTGGTACAAAACCAGGGTGTTCTCCATGCAGAAACCTCAATGAGAATCAGGGAAGGGCTTTGGCTGGTTGGAGTCACTGACCTCCTGCCTTGCCAGGCAGCCCAAGCAGATGGGTGCACAGTGCAAAGGCTACAGCAGGGCTGTGACATGACAGGGATCACTAGCAAGCAGTGCTGTAAAAAATGCATCCTGTAACATTGGTCACTGACACATGGATTCACAAATGTTGTTTTCACAGGTGTTAAAAGGGTTAAATCTTCCTTTCTCCTCTTTTTGCTTGTTTTCCTTCTAATGTGCCGGTCTTTTTTTTTCTTCATTGAAGGAGTAGAAAAATCATAGTCCCAAAAGAATTTCAGGCCCACCACCAGCCTCCATAGCAAGATGTCTCCAAGGAACCTCCCTGGTCTGTTCTCTCCCCCAGTGCCCCAGCAGGACTTCACATCAGGAAGCACTTGCCTGTAGCTAAGCCATCAGTAATGTCTTTGCAAGGACAGCTCAATGTGTTCTCAGATGCAGAAGGTGCCAATGCTCCCTTCTCAGGGGGCTGGGAGACCCCAGCTTGTGCAGCAAGGTTGGATTCACACATGGTGACCTGGGCAATGTTAATCATATTCTCTTTCCTCTCCTCTGGTCTCTTCAGGGTCTCGTCTCTTAGATTCTCTTAGATTCTCCTCCCTTAGATTCCCTTCCCTTAGATTCCCTTCTCATAGATTCTCATCACTTAGATTCTCATCTCTAATAGTCTCTTACATTTTCTTCTATTTTCTTCTCTTACGTTGGATTCTCTTAGAATCTCTTCTCTTGTTTTCTTAGATTCTCTTAGAATCTCTTATCTTGTATTCTCTTACATTCTCTTTTCCAAGATTCTCTTAGATTGTCTTAAATTCTCTTCTCTTGTTTTCTCTTACATTCTCTTCTCTTAGAATCTCTTCTCTTGCATTCTGTTACATTCTCCTCTCTTGGAATCTCTTGGAATCTCTTGGAATCTCTTGGAATCTCTTGGAATCTCTTCCCTTATATTCTATTCTTATATGACAATCCAAGAGAAAGAAGAGGAGTGGGAGAAAGAGAAGAGAATAGGAGAGAGGAAGAAGAGGAGAAAGGAAGAGAACAGGAGAGAAGAGGCGAAAGAAAGAGAATGGGGGGGGGAGAGAGAAGAGAATAAGAGAAAGAAAGAATAAAAGAGAACAGTAGAAAGAAAGAATAGAAGAGAGGATGGGAGAGAGAACAAAGAATGGAAAAAAAGAGGAGAATAGGAGAAAGAGAAAATGGGAGGAAGAGAATAGGAGAGAATAGTAGAAAGAAAGAAAAGAGAATTGGAGAGAAGAGAGAATGGGGGGAGAGAAAGAATGGGGGGAGGGAGAAAAGAGGGAGAGAGAGAATGGGGGAGAGAGAAAGAATGATGGGAGAGACAAAAAAGAAGAAAGAAGAGAAGAAAAAGGGACCAGTAGGGAGAGAAGAAAGAAGAGAATAGAAGGGAGAGAAGAAACAGAAGAGAATAGAAGGGAGAGAGGAAAAAGAAGAAAGAGAGAAGAGAAAGGAGAGAAGAAAAAGAGAAGAAATAAAAGAAAGAGAAAAGAGAATAGAAGAAAGACTAAAAGATAAAAGAGAATAGAAGAGAATAGGATAGAAGAAAGAGAATAGAACAGTAGAAGAGAAGAGTAGAAGAGAAGAAAGAATAGAAGAGTAGAAGAGAACAGAAGAGAGTAGAAGAGAGTAGAAGAGAGCAGAAGAGAATAGAAGAAAGAGTAGAAGAGAATAGAAGAAAGAGAGTAGAAGATTCTAAGAGGCTCTAAGACATTCTAAGAACTTCTAAGAGAGGAGAATACAAGAGAATACACGGAAGAGAATCTAAGAGAATATGGGGAAGCAAATATAAGAGAATGTAAGAGAATAGAATCTAAGAGATAATAAGAGTAGAGAATGTAAGAGAAAAGAATGTCAGAGAAGAGAATGCAATAGAAGGGAAGGGAATATATGAGAAGAAAAGGGAAGAGACTCAAAGAGAATATAGGAGACTATAAGAGAAGAGAACCTAAGACAGGAGAAGACAATGTAAGAGAAGGGAAGGGAATATAAAGGAAGAAAAGGGAAAAGCCTCTAGGAGAATATAAGAGAAGAGAATGTAAGAGAGGAGAAGAGAATGTAAGAGAGGAGAAGAGGATGTAAGAGAGGAGAAGGGAATATAAAAGAAAAGGGAAGAGACTAAGAATATAAGAGAATATAGGAGAACATAAGAGAAAAAGAATATAAGAGAAGAAAATGTAAGAGAATAAAAGGGAAGGAAATGTAAGAGAAGAAAAGGGAAGAGACTCTAAGACAATGCAAGAGAAGAGGAGAGAATACAAGAAAAGGGAAGGGAATATAAGAGAAGAGAAGAGACTAAGAGAATGCAAGGAAGGGAAGGGGTTATTAAAGAATACAGGAGAAGGGAACGGAAAGGAAGGGGAGTTTTCCATTAGCATCCCCAGTGGCCTTACCTCTTCCTCCCATGCCACTTTGCCATGCTCCACTGCAGGATCCAAGGACCTTGTCCCTATATGTCTGGGTTCATCAGCCCACTGCTTGCTGGGCAGCATGCATCATCTGCAAGGCTGGGCTTCCTAGAGGCTCTGCGATCACCAGGGTGCGACAGAGGCATCAGTATATAGGGGTCTCTGGAAACGTGCTTTTTGCCTGCATGGACCTTTCTGTTATAGTATTTTCTTGAAATCAGGGGGTTAAATACACATCTCTGTCCCTGTAGATGGTAGCCCAGGCTGCAGGAAAGTGAGTCTGTGGAATAGATGTGTGTGTTACGGTGTATAAGACACCCCATCAGCTATGATACGTTTGAAATCTTGTCACTGTAAAATGTTTAGCAGATAGTACCCTTTACTGAACTAGAAACCTGCACTAGTGCTGCATGCCTGGCAGGCTTGGAAAGGTAGATAAATTTGGGGCTATGCCCATGAAAGCTCTACATCCTGCTGTGGTTCAGGTGTCATTTTTCTTATAGGTAAATGGCAGAGCAGCCTCAGGGCTCCTGCTGAGCTCAGGGGCCCATCAGCTGCAGCAGAGGAGCTTTGCTTTCAGATGTGACACTTGCTTCTCTGATAAATGACCAGTTCAAACAGGTTGAAATAGAAGTGAATTTCCCCAGAACTGGGTGTTGTTCACACGCGGTACGTGTGGTAGCAAACGTTCAATGTGAACCACGTGCCAAACAGACCTTAGTATATCAGATAAGCCAGGTTACTCTCTCTGGCTGCATTAAAATGTGTTCCCCCAGGTGAATTTAACCTCATGTCAGCAAAGCACTTCAGCTCAAGGTACTGAAGACAAGCTCCAGCAATGGTACAGTCCCACCAGACATACCAAAGAGTGTGAGGGAGAGAAGCCTTTCCCATAAGAAAGAAGGATAACTGTGGCTTTGGGGTTTTTCTACAAAGAGCTGAAGAGACCCTCAGCAGCTGTGGGAAATGCCTGCACTTCCTGGGGTTCTAATTGTAGAATCACTGAATAGCTTGGGTTGGAAGGGACCTTCACAGCTCATTGAGTCCAACCTCCCCTGCAATGAGCAGGGATGTCTTCAACTAGATTAAGGTTCCTCAGAACCACATCCAGCCTGGCACTGAATGTCTCCACCACCTCTCTGGGCAGCCTGTGCCAGTGTTTCACCACCCTCATTGCAGAAAGTAATGCAGCAGACCTGCTGTGATTCTCCCTCCCTCTAGCCCTTTTTTTCTCCTCAGCAGTGCAGCTCATCTGCTGCAGAGCTGGGCTCCCTCTCAGGAAAATCAACTCCTAGCCCTGAAAGTGCCCCAGCAGCCTCTACTCACACAAGCAGATCAAGATGGCAAAGCTTTGTTAATTTGTGTACATCGCCTAGACAGGAGACATCATAAACAGCAAGGTCCGCACACCATGAGTACTGTGGTGGACTCCCCTTGGGTTGGAAAGGCTGCATGGGTACTCATTCAACAAAACAATACCAAGAGCTTTAAACTCTGCTATTTCAGACTTAAGTGGAGCGTGCTGCTTGTGAAAGACCTCTCCTGAAATAGTTAACAAATACAGCAAAAGCTCTGTCCTGGATGCCAATGCTTCCGGTGGGGGGGCATTGGCTGCAGCAGGTAGGGCTCATCAGGGGGCATTGCCTTAAGCACAGGTACAACACCAGGTGCTGCCCGCTGGTAGAACTGCTTGTGCTGTGCTTTGACTAATGCCACTGTTTTCAGAACAGGGGATTTTAAACTCCAAGATGTTTCAGGCAGGGATGACTTTTACTCTGCATGTGTAGGACCTAAATACAGCCCTGACCAGGTCTAGGACTTGTGGTGCTCCTGCATTGGTGCGGATGACTGCTTCTCTCCCAGGTATGAACCCTTCCCTAGAGAGAGGGTCAAAGCCATGGGAGCTGGAAGCACTCAAATGTCAAGAGGAAACTGGCGACCTGCATTGTTACAGCATCCAGCAGGATGATTAGAAAAATAGCGGTAAATCCCCACTGAGCTGCTGCAAAACAGCCTGCAAGCAAATTAATTACTTTTTAAGCAAAAGGCAATGCAATGATCCCAAATCAGGAAAGCAAATCAAGCTGAGAGTTTCTGTGAAAATATTTTCAATCAAATGAGTGTAACTGACTGGAAGGGAAACTACTTTTTGAATTAAGCAGGTAGACAAGAGCAAAGTAATTTCTTGTTTGTTCAAGCAGAGGACATGGTTTTGCTCAGATTTACTGGCCCCAGGTATTTCTATATGAGGATCTAGATCTGTCCAGCTGTTCAAGCGTCACTCTGAATTTATGCCAGTGTAAGAGGAAACCAAGTCCTGCATCCAGCTCTGGGGCCTCAACTCAAGAGGGATATGGAGCTGCTAAAGTGAGCCAGAGGAGGCCACGGAGATGCTGTGAGGGCTGGAGCAGCTCTGCCCTGGAGACAGGCTGAGAGAGCTGGGCTGGTTCAGCCTGGAGAAGAGAAGGCTCTGGGGAGACCTTAGAGCAACTGCCAGTGCATAAAGGGGCTAAAAGAAATGTGGAAAGGGGCTTTGGACAAAAGCCTGTAGTGACAGGACAAGGGGAAATGGCTTTAAATTGACAGAGGGGAGACTGAGAAAACACATTAAGAAGTTCTTCCCTGTAAAGGTGCTGAGATGATGACACAGGGTTCCCTGAGAAGCTGTGGCTGCCCCATCCCTGGCAGTGTTCAAGGCCGGGTTGGATGGGGCTTGGAGCAACCTGGTCTAGTGGAAGGTGTCCCTGCCCATGTCAGGGGGCTGGAACTGGATGAGCTTCAAGGATGAGCTTCCAACCCAAATCACTCTGGGATTCTATAAAAGATGTAAAGGAAACAGAAAGCAAGTAAGCACCTCAGAGAGATGGCGATGGGGAAATGGCAGTGGCTGTGGCATGAAGAGGAGAAGACAAACACTTGGCATAAATTTAGTTCCTGATGTGTTAGGTTTATAAAACTAGAGAAACCAGGAATTTCTGATGACTAATATGTCTGAGCAGAGAGCATGGGTAGTTCACTGTATATCTATATAACTGCTCTATTTTCTTGAACTCTTGGTTCTAAGGTGTTCTGCATGAAGCAGGAGGTGTAGTCAATATTCTCCAGATGGGACTACCAGACTTCAATCAGGGTTGGGTTGTTTTCTCCTCTCTCTCATTACAGTAATGAGCCTCTGTGCTAAGCTGCCTTTTCAAGTGTCTGAAGGAGCTGTATTCCCATGACACGTTCTCTCTGGTCTTCTGAAAACAAATGCCTTCAGTCATTGGTAGCCAGAGCTGCTTCCTGTTACTGAGCTCTAACTCTGCTGCACACTGTCAGTGACTGCTGTGAGTCTCTGCTCTTCCCTGTCAGTACAGAGATCTCGTTTGTAGGCAGCTGGAGACAAAGTGCAAGTGCATGACCCCTCCACCTCTCCCACGTGCCATGAGGAAGAGAGTCCTTCATGGAAATCAGCCTCCCGCAGTGCAGGTCACCTCCCCACCAGGTTGTTTCCAGTTGAGGTCACACTGAATAGGAAGCAGAAACCCAGCACAGCCCAAGTGCTGCCCCAGTCCCTGATGCTGTCTGCAGCATCTGAGTCCCAGGAAGGTTGGATCTGCAGGGCCCTGGCACTGCTCCACAAATCTGGAATCCTACCAGGTATGTTCCTGGGTTACTGCAGCCTCTAATTTAGGAACCTCCTAAACCAGAGGTTGCTCTTTCATGTAACATGGCCTATCAGGGGCTTTTCTGCTTTCCATGAGCACACAGAACCATTTTTATACCCAATCTCTCACCACACCATCAACACCCAGCCTTGCACAGTGCAGTCAGTACATCCCCGTGCCTGCCAGAGCTTGGTGCTGCACGGCACCAGGCAGACCACAAGGAGCCAACACAGCCAGCACCCTCCTGGTAAATCCTGAGCTGGATCCTGCTCCGAATGGAAAACCTCTGCTCCCCCCTCGAGCTGCCAAGGGCTAAAGAGCACTCTGGAACTTCACAAGGCCCAAGCTCAGCTCCACGTCAGGGCTGCACAGAAAGTGTCGAACCACTAGAGGGAAACCGGAGCGCAGCTTCCCTCTGAGGCAAACAGCGGTTGAAGATGCTAAAGGTGCAACACTGACAAGGAATGCTCTGACCACTGTTCATTCACTTGCAGTGCACAGATGACCACACTGAGGCAAGCTCTCACCAGTTAATTGCAGTATGGCAGAGCAGAATCTCACAGTGTTTGTCATAAGTGGTTCTCTTTAACAGTAAAAATACAGCATTTCTTTTACTGTTAAGCAGGTATCTTGCTTGTATGGGTTTACCAGATTATTTTTTATATTAGATAAAATAAACTGTACAACTGGAAGAACAGTCAACAATTAGTAGTAAGCTCCAGGTTTGTCATCTACATCAACTGCCGCTGGATGGGATCTCTACCCTTTTCTTTATACAGCAGTAGTGATTTTGGCAGCAGAATAATGTATTTTAAAACAGACATTGTTTAGTCAAGTGATACAAAACTGCATACAATAATCTACCTTCTTTTGCTGGACAAAGCTGCAGTGTAATGGGTATTGTGCAATATCAGCATTAGCACTGAAACCCAGAATACCCTTTAGCCAGGTCCTGAAAGATTTAACATACAAGAAGATACAACCTCCTTTACCTCAATTTCCAGACAATAACCCAGAAAAGACTGCTTCAGGGAAGCTTACTCTTGCCTACAGACGATGATGGCAAAAAAGCATCTGAAGAAAATGACATTGTTTTCAAGTCCTTTATTCTGTTTTCTCCCCTAACCCCCTCTTTTTTATAGCTTTCTGTTGCTGGGTTTCTCTATAGAGTGCAGTGACATATGGGAGAACTCCTGACTTCCAATCAGTTGTAGACACTGCTGACATCAGAGAACAAATCCGGGCTAAATTAGGCAAGGAGTAAAGAAACCTGATGATGACACTACCTGGTGAAAGGGCTCCTGTCAACTCAGACACGGAGGACTCATACCCAGGTGAGAGTTTGTGCCACTCTGGGATGACATTCGTTTGCACTTTGTACTGAGGGCGTGCAGTCAGTTTGGCTCTTCTCTGCCCCCTGCAGTGCTAACACACGTGTAGCGGTCACATTATCTCTAATTCTCCTCAATTCACGTGTGAAAGCAAAGGTTTGCAAAAAAGGGGCAGGAAGAGACCAACTAAAGAAAGCTCAGTTTTCTCATGTCATAACTAGTAGGTTTCTGTCTAGCCTGCTTTTAACAACACCTCACCGCAAGGGATGTTTGTAGGTTCAATTATCTTCAGCATTAGCAGAGTTTATTTTTATCTCCAGACAGAGCATTTCCAACTGCAGTGTAAAACATAGAATGATAGAACAGTGTGGGTTGGAAGTGACCTCCAAAAATCCATTATCTCTTGTATTATCTACCGTGGATATAGCAAGCTATTTACTATTTTCCTTCTTAGGAAGACCCCAGCAAGAAAAAGGGGCTGACATTGCTCGCAGGGTCCCCTATGGGCTGGCAAAAGCCTACAGCACCCGGGATTCCCAGGCGGTCTCCCATCCAAGTACTAACCGAGCCCGACCCTGCTTAGCTTCCGAGATCAGACGAGATCGGGCGTTTTCAGGGTGGTGTGGCCGTAGGCAGCCTCTCCCCTGCCACCACCGCTCTCGGCGCCCCCGCACACGCTGCCCACCCGCACTCAGCCCCAGCCCCCAAAGCCAGGGGCACCATTGTGACGCCCAACCACGCCAGCGCCCCCACGCACACAGCCCCGCACGCCTCTGCCCGCGACGACCCGACACGCGCCCCCCCGCAAATCCCCCCCCCCCCCCGGCCCGCGCATAAACAACGCCACGCTCCTTCCCTCATGTCCCCCAACAACAGGAACAGGGTCTCCCATGGACCTGCCCCTCCGCAGCACCCCACCGAGAACAAGAAGTCCGGGACTGCCCGCAAGGACCCCTGTGGCCTCAACGTCCCGCAAGAAAAAAACGGCTGGAATTGCTCGCAGGGGCCTAAATAGCTTAAAAAGGCAAGCCAGCAAAAGGGGGAGAAGCTTGCAAACAGGGGACCCTAAGTGCTTCAAATGCCAGCAAGAAAAAGGGGTCTGCAATTCCTGATGGTGCCCCAAAGACGCAAAAGCCCGCACAGAAAAAGAGGCTGACATTGCCCGCAGGGTCCCCTATGGGCTGGCAAAAGCCTACAGCACCCGGGATTCCCAGGCGGTCTCCCATCCAAGTACTAACCGAGCCCGACCCTGCTTAGCTTCCGAGATCAGACGAGATCGGGCGTTTTCAGGGTGGTGTGGCCGTAGGCAGCCTCTCCCCTGCCACCACCGCTCTCGGCGCCCCCGCACACGCTCCCGACCCGCACTCAGCCCCAACCCCCAAAGCCACCGGCAGCAATGGGTCACACACCCACCTTGAGGCACCCGCTGCCACGCAGTAACCCCTCCGAGCACAGAGCCCCGCAAGCCCTGGCCCCGATGCCCCAACACAAACCCCCCTGCGCAAGCGTCGCCGCGCTCTTTCCCTGCTGCCCCCAGCAACACGGCAAGGGGACACCTGCGGACCTGCCCCTCCACAACACCCCACCGAGAAAAAGGTGGCCCGACATTGCCCACAGGGGCCTCAATCACCCCAACAGCCCAGCAGGAAAAATGGTCAACCCCTGCAACAAGCCTCTCTAGCACAGACTCCTATATACCTGCCCTCTGCTGTCTTCTTTCGTAACTGACACATCACTTGTATTCCTCAATAATCGCTTTCCAATGCCATTGGTTAGTTTTTTACACTGTAATATTCCCTATCAATGTTCTGATATGCTTATATCTTGTTGCCTTATGTTATATCTTGTTGCCTTATGTAGTTGTTGCCATTCCCTTAAACATCTCACTGAAACTTCTGTGTCTTGTCTCTAATGATTGCCCTTTTCAGATGATTGTTCCTTTCCTTTTTTTTTTTTTTTTTTTTACCACCCATCTCATACCCCAGACATTTATTTCCAGTAGGTGGCAACCTGGTTGTGCTTTTTCTTACTTTTTCTTCGTTATGTCTCTAGACACCTCTCAGGCCAAAGCTTATGAGTCGCTGCAGTGGTGAGTGACCTGTCACAGATCCCATCTCTCCTCTCAATGTCCTTTGGGTGGAAGGAGGATCTCTCCACCATGGATATGGCATTTTCTGAAAGCACAGTAGCGTGAGCATAGCATATGCTGCTCCTGTCACTCTGACCCCTTGTTTTCAGGTGGTCCTGGTGTGGTACACCTGCACTGGCATTCCTGTGTCAGACAGTCTGGTGACCCTGTGGCCACCTCGGCCCCTGTTGGAGCAGCCTCAAGCTGCCCAGGCAGCAGGTACCAGGCAGGGTTCCTCTGAGCAGCCTCAGCAGTTATTTTCTGAGGAGGTTTCCTGGGAATGAGCTTGCCAAAGAGTGTTAGCTGTAGGTCACCACACTATGGTAGGGTCAGAGCTGCTTACTACACACCTGCAGCGTGAAGCAGCCACATAACAGCCACCGGGACAGGTCCCCCATGGCACACAGGCTTGGGCACATGGAAGCCATAACAGGCTGCGTGTCTCCGCTACTGCTTTCCTCTCCCCCTCCTCCCCGGTGGGTAAATCGCATCAGCAGCCACCCTGAACAGTCTCATAACGGCCATAATCCCATCCCGGGGGATGCCACCAACCACCTAGCAGCCGGGACAGGAACGATGGGTGCTGGGAGGGACATGCATATGACCTGCCAGGGCCTGGGGACAGCGGGGATGGTACTGGGCACTGTGCCGGGAAGGGGAGCAGGGTGGTGGAAAAGGTCTGCCTTGTCTTCCGTGCTGCCTGTACAAGGAGGGGCAGCCCAGCGCTGAGCTGGGCTTTGTCCTGGGTTAATTTTAGCCCAAGGAGATAAGAGGGGAGGCGCATGGCGGGACTTAAGGGGTCCCTCTGCCCCGCCGCGGGCGGGCCTGGCCTCTGCCACCCATGCAGGCACGGAGCAGGCTATGCTGTGCCTGGGGAGCCGGCGGGGCCCGGCTGCTTCCACCGGCGCGGGGTGGTGCCGGCAGCAGTGAGCCCTGGGCCAGCGCACAGCCCGGTGTTGGGTGCAGGGGACCCTGCCCGTGGAGAGGTAACCATGGAGTTGTACCTCAGTGGGGGCTCTCTCTGCCTGGGAAAGTGGTTGAGATAGCCTGTGCGTATGTGTGATAATGTACCCGTGAGGGTAACAGCCTGTGCGGTTGAACCCGACGGTGGGTGTACCTGTGGTGGGTACCTCCGACGGCAGCGCCGCCACCCCACACCGCGCTGCACCCACCACCACACGATGCCGCTGGGCCTCCTTAAGTTCCCGCCCCGTCCGGGCCTCGTCCCGCCCCGCTCCGCCCCGCCCCGCTCCCTCCAAGTGAGGGAATAAAGTTGCGGGTCGGGGCAGGCAGGCCCGGCAGGAGCGGCGCGGTTCGGGTAGAAGGCTGCGGGCTATGGCCTCGGAGGAGCTGGCGCAGAAGCTGCAGCGGCGGCTGCAGCTGGAGGAGAGCGGAGTGGCGGTGGAGGGCGAGGAGGTAGCGGCCAAGGGCGAGGCGGCGGCCGGGGCCGAGGCGGAGCGGAGCTGCCTGACGGCCAGCGCGGGCGCGGAGCTGAGCGCCAAGCTGTGCCGGCGGCAGGACATCAACGAGGGGGCGGCGCAGCCCCGGCAGGCCGCGGTGTTCAACGTTTACACCGAGTTCAAGGAGTTAAGCCGCCGGCAGATCAAGGACATGGAGCGCTTGTTCCGCCTGTGAGTGGGGCGGGAGCGGGGACGGGAAAGAACTCTCTTGGCCGGACTCGTGGGATCGGCCGTCGGGTATGGGGCTCTGACTTCTCCCCGCGGGTCCTCCCAGTGCTTTTCCCGGGGGGGACATCTGGAGAGAGTCTGCCTGCTCTTGGCTGGATACTTGCATTTCTTCGCGGTTTGCGGTCGGGCTGGGAGAAGCTGCGGCGCGTTACCAGCGCCATCTGATCCCCACGTTATCCCTGTGCTTTTTCGGGGGGGGGGGGGGGGCGGAGAGGTTGCTCGTGGGGTTTGCCCCGGACTCGGGGCTGGAGCTGAGACTTGTGCTTAGCTCACGACTTAGTGTTGCCTCTGGTCTACCTGGGTGTGGGACGGCGGCTGTTTGTGGTGGCACCCATGTGGTGGCGGGTTTGGAGGACGCTGTGTCCCGGGGCCTCGCAGCAGTGCTGGGGATCTGCCTCAAACAACCGTGACCCTGAACATCCCTTTTAGCTCTGCCTGGCAGTGCTGGAGCTCCTTCCACAGTCCCATTTGCCAGACTTGGTGTTCCCTCCTGTGCTCCCAAACAAAGCTTGTGTACAGCTTCCTCTTGCTTTGCCCTTCCTGGGGGCTAGGATAGGGATCCTCTCCTGGCAGAAAGGTTTGTATTAGAGTCGGGATGCTGGTGGCAATGCAGAGAGGGCTTGGCCCTTCCTGGGATTCTGCTCTTTTCTCTACAAGCCCTGTCCTGGACCGTGCATGGGTGGCTTTATGTGTGCTCGGGCTTCCCTGACCAACGCAAACCCCTGTGCTCCTGAGGATCGATGTTCTCCCAGCCCCAAGGAGAGGGGTCAAGCAGGCATGGCTGCCGGGCTGGGGGTGAGCTGCTGCCCAGCGTGAGGCAGGACCACAGAGGACTTACATGGGTTTTTATGGCAAGGTGCAGAGACCTATTTCCACTTATAGAGGTGATAGCAGCAGGGCTTGTTCGGTTTTTGTTCTCCTATGTGAAAGCTGCCCTGGGCACCCTGGAGGCTGGGGTCATTGCAAGGATCAAGAGCCTGGTTAAGTGCTCCTGATGCTATATGGTGTTGCTGTTGCTGCAGGAGACCAGGCAGTGAGCCTTCCGAGCTCACCGGAGTTCTTTGTTGCACAGGCAGTGTTTTGTCGGCAGCCGGGCGCGGGAAGAGAAGCGGGATGGGTGAGGCTGCTCTTCTGCCTGCTCCTGTGTGTCCCTTTTGACGTTGGTTAAAGGGGTCCTACTCTGCGGAGCACTGAGACATGGCACTGTGGGGGCAGGAGGACTAAAGATACAGGCAGCTGCAGTGGCCAGAAGCTGCGTGTGAGAGCCTGGAGTGGGCAGCAGCACTGCTTCAATAGAGATGAGGAAAGGAACAGCGGTGGTTTGGGGAATAAACAGTGGACGAGCTGAATTGCAGCCGAATTTTTCAACAATGAGCTCATTAAACGCCAGCCTTGTAAGTGGAGAAACCTAGGCTTTGCAGTTGAATGCTAATCAGATGGTCAATGTAACTGGGAAACATTGCATGCCCTGTGAGGACTACCGCAGCTGAGCGCCGGCTGGTTGTGCCAAAAGGGAAAGAAGGCTGCTGCTCCCCGGACAGTCGGATGGAAAAGCCCGTCCTGGTTTTCCCTCTGTTACAGGCACCTGCCATTTGCAGTGGTGGAGAGTCTGGTCTTTGCTCCATCTGCTGCCAGCGACCTCTTTTCAAGTGTCAGCTCACACCATGTGCTCTATGAGGAGAGGAAATATTCCCCTTAATTCCTGCCAATCAGAACTTTAGTTAATGTGATTAAGGCTTTTATTCTCTGTATGGCTTATTGGCTGTGGCCACCACAACCCAGGATCTTTCTTATTAAAGGTAAAGTAAGCTTTTGACAGACAGGCATGTGTCTTCTCACTACACAGGATGCAGCTTTCCACTGTACGACTTCCCACCCAAAAGTGTTTCTCATCAGTTTAGTCTGACTTGTAAATCTATAGCTTGGACTAAACATGAGCCTGTGGGACCTGTGCACAGTATGGGCTGAGCCAGGGTGCTCCAGCCAGAAAGGGACTTGCTTGTGATTGTGGCTGCTCTGGTGTTTTCCAGGGCATTTCACAGTATAGCTGGTGGCAGTGACCACCCTGTGCCAGGGTGGAAGCAAAGGGCTTGTTGGAACATGGGGCTTCCCAAAATCCAGCGGTTCATTCAGGTGCTCTGTGTTGCTGGCTGCACCAGGAGCATCCTTCCAAAGTAGAAATGATGCTCCTTGCTCTTGCTGCCATGGTTGGCTCACTTCTCTTGTCCAAGACTCCTGGCAGCATCCCCCCATTTTGGCACCATTCCCTTGGAGATGGGGTACAGGTATCTGTTGTGGGTGCTGGGTACAGGTATCTCTTGGGGTGGGTATCTTTTTTTGGCTGAGGGACCAGCAAGTCTGCAGCTCAGGCTAATTATGTGACCTAATTAGCTGCTTGTGTGTGAGAGGACTGTGGTAGCCATGATAACCTCCCTTCACCAAGTCTTGCACCTCTGGAGCTCTGCAGTGTCACAGCTCCCCTTGGTACCCTCTTGTCCAGATAAGTGGCAGAGTGGGGTATGAAAGCCAGGCTTGTGAGGCTGTTCCAGGCAGGAATGACCTTTCTGAGGGAGGAAAACAGCCACTGGCTTCATCTGCAGGGTGCAAGGGAGTGGAGAAATTCCAGCCTTGCTGTTGCTTTTGTATCTAGGGAATTCCATGCGTTGCCTGCGTATCTTGAAGCGCCTTGTGCCTTGCTGGTGGGAGAGGCTGTGATGTCTCCTTGCCCTCCTGGAGCTCTTTGGGAGCTACTCAGCCTGTACCAAAGGACGTGTCCAATGTGCTGCAGCAGACCTGCTTGCTCCAGCGCTGCCATGCTCCCAGTGTGACCAGCTGTCTCTGGAGCCCAGTGCTCAGGCACATCATCCCCACAGGGACTTGGCCACCCAGCCCGGGCCCTGAATGCTGTGGTGCCTTAGGGTCTTGCCCAGGTCTTGCTGGAGGATACTTTGATCTTACTGTCATGTCCCTTCTAAAGAAGGAGAGTTCCTGCTACCCAGGCTGGGGAGGATGGGGCCGCACGTGGCTGAGGAGCCTGTCCCTGCCTCCAGCCTGCTATGGAAGAATTGTTTCCAAAGCTCTTGGCAATAGAATATCTCAGTTGGAAGGGGCTTGCAGTGATTAAGTCCAACTGCATGTACTGAGTCAGGGCTGACCCAAAAGTTAGAGTGTTAAGGGCATTGCCCGGATGTCTTTTAAACACTGACAGGCTTGGGGCATTGACCACCCTCCTAGGAAGCCTGTTCAAGTGTCTGACCATCTCCTTGGTAAAGAAGTGGTGCTTCGTGTCCAGTCTGATCCTCCCCTGAGGCAGCTTTGAATCGTTCCCATGGGTCCTATCACTGGATACCAGGAAGAAGACATCAGCACCTCCCTCTCCATGTAAGGTGAAACACAACGCTCAGAGGGAATGAAGTATTGCTTAGGATTTTGAAATGTTTAAGTGAAGATTATTGCCACTTCAGCTTTATTTCAAAGCCTGTTAAGCCACTGCAGCGTGCAGAAACTGCAGATCAAAGTACAGGTGCCCACAGCATGTGGAGCAAGCTCAGATACAGCACATGTGAACAAGGAGGACAGGTTTTCTTTCCAGCCCTTCTCAAGAAGCATGAATGTTTAGAAACTGCTCTTTGATCCTTCAGAATTTGGGAATTCTCTTCAACTACCCTTTTATTTCCCTTGGTGTTTTTCAGATGGCTGGGAGGTGACTGCAGTGAATACAGGTGGTGCTGTCCTCAGCATCTCCTTTCTCCTCTCCTCCTGATCCCTCTTTCTTCTGTGGTGTAACCCCCCAGTTATGCTGTGTATAACACCAGTACGATGACTGTACTTGGGCTGTAATAGTGCATAACAGACTTCTTTGCTCTTAAGCAGGTCTGCTGAGCAGGTATTCCCTCCTTGCCTTCAACGTCTGCTCCTGCTTTCTTCTCTCAGCACTTCAGCAGCCCAAATGGAAGCGAGCCAGAGTGGTGGGAATCTTGGTGCATCCTTGCTGCAGATCTTGGCAGCTGCTGCTGATGTCTCATGTGCTGCCAACAGCGCTGCTGTGGTGGCAGTGCTCTGGAGCCATATCACACCAGCCTGTATTCCTATTCCAGCCATTGCAGGTGGGGACCTGCCGTGGCACTGACTTGGTGCTGGAGTTGCCCGCCTGTGATGCAAGATGTCTCTGCCTATTGGCACAAGATCCTCTCTGTCCATGATGCCTGCATGTCACCTGGATGAAGCTTTGTTCATGTCCCAGGGAGCTTTGAGCCCAAAGGAGGCAAAGCCCCAGTGTCACAGCAGGGATGGGAAGGGCTGGCAAGGCACCCAAGTGCTCCATACGCTTGCTGCAGCATTCCTGGAGTACAAGATGTGATGGCTCCCCAGAATGGAGAGGGACTTTTTACGTGGGCATGTAGTGATGGGACAAGGGGGAACGGCTTTAAACTGACAGAGGGCAGATTTGGGTCAGGTATTAGGAAGAAATTCTTCTCTGTGAGGGTGCTGAGGCGCTGGCACAGGGTGCCCAGAGAAGCTGTGGCTGCCCCATTCCTGGCAGTGTTCAAGGCTGGGTTGGATGGGACTTGGAGCACCCTGCTCTGGTGAAAGGTGTCCCTGCCCATGTCAGGGGGTTAGAACTGGGTGAGCTTTAAGGTCCTTCCAATTCTAGTGATTCTACAATGCGCTTAGGGACCAAACTTGCCCTCGTGCCCTCTTCCAACGCTGCCTGTGGGGGCTGACCAGTGCCCATCACCAGAACAGAGCTGCTCTGGGGGCAGTGACTCAGGTGTGAATGGTATTGGGCAGCTCCCAGAAAGCAGACAGTGGGGGTTTTGGTAGGACTGAGGTGTGCCAGGAGCATCGGCTGACTAACAAGTTGCAGTCTGCGTTGTGCCCCATGATGCCTGTGTCGGCAGGGGCTGGAGGGAATGAATTTCACCATCTCGCATGCCCTATAAATATGCCTCTCCCTAAATAGTCGGGCTGCGTGGCCCGTGGCAGCCGAGTGGCTCTGCTCAGGTCCTAAAATACTTGGGCTGTTTTCGGAGATGAGGTGGGGGTGGGGAGAGAACGCAGCAGTCTGCAGCGTGCTGCTGTGGGGATGGCGCCGAGCATCCGGGGGGCTTCAGTGTCCCTCTGGCTGTTCCCCACTGCAAGGCGCTGTTAATCTGGTTTTGGGGTGCATCTCGGTGTCAGCGGGTGTGCTCCTCAACACCCATTGTGGGGCTGGTACAGCGTGCTGCCCTGCCACCACAGCCTGCCGATGGCAAGTCCCCATTTCTCACAATCCTGGCTTTGTGCTGCCTCTCTGCGGGAATGATGAGCCCTGAAGCTGTGCCCCATGCTTAACCCTTTCGGGGCAGTGCGTTTACCAGGGCAGGCACCGAGGGCTGGTGTTTGCCTGTGGGTAGTGTCTGCTAGAATCAGGGTGAGATGAGCGTAGCAGGCACTGTAGGGCTTCTGCCTTCATCTCCATTACCCAGTGCTCCTGAGAGGGGATGGACAGTGTTCTGACCCTGTTTGGGTAGCCCTTGGTTGGGATTATCCTTCTGCACCCAGCCCAAGGGCAGAGTGAGCTTGCTGGGGCCAAAACAACCAAGCCCAAGTACCTCCCTACCACTTTGTTCTTGCTGCTTTATCTCATCAAAAGCACTGCCGCCCCAACCACCTTGCTCTGGAGGAGCAGCTCCACACCCTTCCTCCCAAACTTAAGGGAAAAACAAATTGGCAATTAAACATTGCACTCACCATGCTTCTGTAAGGTCTTGAAAGTGTGTCTCAGAGCTGGGCTGGGTGATGCTGTGAACATGTGCCTTAATTAACTGATGCCTGCATCACTGTGATGAACTTGCTGCTTCCCTGTGACGTCTTGGGTTTGTGACCTGGTTTCTGCTCCGACAGTGGTTTCTTTGCTAGTGTTCCAGAAAGGTGTCTGGCCTAGTGGGCTCATGGGTTAGGGTGCAGAGCATGCAAGCAGATTGGTAGCAGGGGTTGCCTCTAGCCTGGTGGTGATGTCCCTGCTGTTTGGGGTGTCTTGGGCCTGGGACCCTTGGAAACAAAGAAACAGAGAGAGGTAGGGGGACTCTGGAAAGCTGCAGAAGCTGCCTCAGTTTGGGAGGGAAAGCACCAGGCTTGTGGAGGCAGGGGCAGAGCTTTTGGCTGCAGCTCTTCCTTGTGCTGCCCAAGCAGCTCAGAGCCAGCAGCTTTGTTCTTGCCTTCCTGTGCCACAACTTCCTCTGTGGCTGTGAGGTTTCTCAGCTGGAAAGGGTTTTCTTCCAGGGTAACCACAACTGTGCAGGTCTTGGTCTGCTACAGCCCTTATGTCTTTGGAAGGGAGCTAACAGTCAATGAAAGATGATGGGTTGGAGGGTTTGACTGGCTCCTGCTTCAAAGGATTTAACTCTGAGGGTTGAGGTGGAGGCAAGGGAACAGTGGCACATGTGCGCAGGGGCTGAGCCCAGCTTGGCAGACCCTGCCCTGTCCTCCCATGTGAACCCCCAGCTCTGCTGTACCCCAGGCTGAGGGAGGGTTGTTGATGAGAGAGCTGATAGCAGAGCGCCCGTCCCTTCAGCCTTTGGACTTTGAAACCCGGTGATAGCCCTGGCAGTGTGAAGCATGGGTTGCTGGGTGGGCTGAATGCTTATATGCAGTGGATGTTAGGGGGGAATTGGTGTGTGGTCCCAGGCTGACTGTGGCAGGTCTCTGTCTCCCCATTCCCTAAAGCACTCCGCTCCTTGCGTGGGTGCTCTCCTCCTGTAAAGAGTCCATGGAGTCCTTTGTGCTCCACTGGGATCATGGTCCCACTTCAGTCTTGCTCCTAGTGTCCTAGAGGCGGGCACTGGCTTCCTCTACCAGCCTGGCCCTGTGATGCAGCCCGCAGCACTGGCTGGGATTGCTGTGCTTCCCCAGGACCGCAGTTCTTCTCTGCCGGGAACACTGGATAAATGGCTGCCCTGAAGCATGGCGCTCGTGTGGTACAAAACCATTTCCGTTTTGTAGAGAAAAGATCTTAACAGCTCTTTGTGTTTTGCCTACAAAGAGATATATCTGCTTTCTGCTGGGTTGGTCTGTGCTTCCCGTTTCTCCTCAAATCGAGCAGCAGACCTGGCAGGAGCTGGCTTGGGCACGTGTTTGCCTCCCTGTGCTGGTGCGTGGTGTAAAGTTGTGTACAAGGTAACCTTTGTGCCGGGCACAGAAGTGGGCGAGATGGAAATCCCACTGAGATAAGCTGAGTTCCTCCGTGCTCCTTCTGTGTGGGTGGTTTGGTCTGAGCTCCCCTGAGCACTTCTCTATCTGAGGCAGCTCTGAAAGCCGTCAGCTACATCCCTGAGCTTAAAATATCTCAGTGCTGGTCATGTCCTGCAGCTTCTCCCCCTCCCCTGAGCTTTGAGCCACTCTGTGACTTTATCCTCTGGGCATAGTTCCTCTTCTGGGAAGATGGAGATGGGGATTTTGAGGGCTGACCCCCTCGCCTTTGTACCCTGTAGGTATGACTCAGGACGGGATGGATACATTGACCTGATGGAACTGAAGCTGATGATGGAAAAGCTGGGAGCCCCGCAGACCCACCTGGGGCTGAAGAACATGATCAAGGAGGTGGATGAAGACTTTGATGGGAAGCTCAGCTTCTGTGAGGTGAGGGTGACCTGCAGGAGCAGACAGGGATGTGGCTGTGGGGTAGAGGGAGGAGGCAGCCAGGTCTGTACTCTGACGGTTCCCTCTGTTTCCCCAGCTGTGGGGTGCAGTGGAGAAGCAGGAAAGCTTCCCCATGCTATGGGGAGCTCGAGCACTGTCAGCATCCATCTCCCCATGGTAGCTGATGCCAAAGCTCTCCAACCTCCCTGCTTGGTTTGTGAGCACATATGAGCTGGGCTGCAGCTTCTTGGGAGTGCTGACAGAGCTCCTTGCTGTACCTGGAGGTGGCACATCCCTTCGGTCACAAGATCTCACTGCTGGGCTCCTGTGATACAGTGGCTCAGGCCTCATTTGAGGTGCAGGGCAAGGGCTCTGCTCAGAGCAGCTGATTTCATGTGGCACTGGAGGATTCCTCATCCAGTTTATACTGTATCCCTCTGCATCAGGCAGTAACCAGCCATGGGGAGCTTCCTGGGGGGTGGTCACCTCTGTGCACCAAGGAACAAGTGTGGTGATTCAGCAGCTCAGTGCTGGATGCTGGCTCAGCAGGGACACGCAGCGGACAGGTCTGTCACCACTGGGCTAAGACCACTGGGAGCAGCATGAACAGGCCAGGAACTGCTGCCAGGCAGAGAGGGAGTTTGAGCAGTTACCTGCATGCACGCACAGGTACCCAGCTTACCTTAGCAGGAAGGGAGAGTTCAGATGCCAAAACCTCCTGCTGCATCTTCCTAGGCTTTAGTTGCTGTCTCAGAAGCATATGTCACACCGTGACATCTAAATTAACTAACATCCCTTTAGGTAGCAGGAGGGCCAGTGCTGCTTTTGTCCTGTGCTGGCTGAGGGCTGTGCCGCTGTCCTGCCCCAGGGGATGGCAGCAGTGGTGTTGTGCCATGCCTCCTTCATGGTGGTGGTTTGGTTGTGAGACAAGGTGCAGAGCTCTCCGCAGCTCAGGACATAGAATTGTTCATTTTGGAGGTTCTGAGGCATTTGGCAGTGCCTGGGAGGAAGGAAGAGCAGCCACAGCCTATATCTGGCTGGGCTGGTTGGGGTGAGGGGCAGCTTACAGAGCTGATGCTTTGTCTCTCCCTGCTTTCGCCCCCCCCAAGGGTTTTCTTGCATTTCTTTCTCTGCAAGAGGGCAGCAGTACAAGACAGAGGCCAAAGACTGTTGAGTTACAGGCCTCAGCCCTTAGAGAGCAGGGAAAGGCATGCAAATCTGGGAAATGAGAGCCTGTCGCTTTATACCGTGAAAGCCCTAGGCCAGCAGCTCCTCTGGGCAGAGAAGATGTGCCAGGTCAGAGGTGAACTAGGGGTAGTGAAGAATCCAGTGGAGCAGGAAGAGCACCATTCCCTTGGCCCCAGGTAAGACTGCGATTGCCAAATCACTGTGGGCTGGAGAAGCTCTGTGTGCCTCCTGGGCTGCCCTTCACCCTGGATGAAGAGCTGGAGACAGCCTCTGGGTTTGCTGCTGGGGCTCCCTACTGTGCAAAATAAGTGCCTTTATCCTCAGAACTCTGGAAGGTACCAGCAGCAGAGGGAGCAGCTCCTCTTCCCCTTGGAGCACAGCCCCCCATCAGCTGGCATGGTCTGCTTGTGCTTCCAGCCCTTGGCTTTACAACAGTTGGTGCTGTTGTAGCTTCTTGCCAGAAACAAAATGATGGTCAAGCAACCCCCAGCTTGAGCGGCTCATGGTTAGAATGAGGGAGCATTGCTGGCAGAGCTCCAGCGACAAATTACACAGCAGCTTTGTCATGTACCCAGAACTCCTTCCGCAAGGAGCAGGGTGCTTCTTGCTTTATTGCAGATGTGCTGTGTCCAGCTGCTGTATTTGAGCAGAGGGCTGTCAGGGAGGCAGGTTTCACAGTGGGTGAGGAGGCCTGAACTAGCCTGTAGCACTGTCCCACTCTTCCTGTTGGTGGTGACAAGCAAGCATGTGGAGGGTGATGAAGCTGACTTGGGGCTCAGAGAACACGAGGAAAAAGCCCTGGTTTAAATGAGTGTCTGAACTCAGCAGGGTTGAACTCAAGGGCTGGAGGGCTTCTGTCTGCCTCTCCAGAGAATGACAACTCCTGACATTCCTGCCTGAAGACGTGCTTCTTGTGGCCTGGGCAGAGAATTGCTAAGGACCTCTAACTTGCAATAGGTCGCCTTTTGCTGCTGCTTTGAGTAGTGTCATGTCCTCTCATTCCAGGTAAGCTGTTGCCTGGGAAGCAGGCTTTGTATGGCTCTGACTTGCTGCTGACAAACTGCTGGCCCCATTGGGAAAGCTGCCTTGTACCACTGACCTTTGAGCATCCATCAATACATCAACAATTAACTGCACAATTGCAGCAAAGGAATTTAGGCTTAAAAAAAGAGGTACAGTGTGTGGAGGAAACGCCTCTGCCTGCCTGCTTTTGTCATGACCACAGGAAACCAGTTAATTGTTATAATAGTAATGTCTAATTGTGGCTGTTGTCTAGAACCCTCAAAAATCCACCCAATGTCCACCATGCCCACACCAGCTTAAATGCTCACCCACATTATGTGTTTGCTGGCAGGGCTAGTGCAAACCACAGCCTCGGGTGACACTGCTTTTCTGGCAAGCTGTTGCAAGGCTGCTGCTGCCAGTCAATCCTGTGCCTTCCCTCATATCTCCGGGGCCAGCATGGAGCCTGGTGGGGCTGCATAATTGCAGCATTGCTCTGAGGCCTGGCAATGGGAGGGTAGATTATGGATCATGAAGGATGTGAGCAGATATGTCTCTTCTTTTATGGGGTTACGTGATGCAAAGTGTGCCATCTTCTCCTCCTTGAGAGCACAGCTTTTAAAGATAACATTATTCACTTGTTTTTCCTCTATTGCCCTTTTTCTGAGGCTTAGCTGCAGGTTATGTGCCCTGGGCCTAGCAAGAGTGTCAGACAGGCTGGGAATGGAAGCTGAACGCAGATTGCTGGTGGTCTCAAGATGGCAAGGACTGATGCCTTGGGGGCAAGTAACTGGTGAGGTGAGCTGCAGGTGGTGTGCTGGTGTAAGGATTGCTCCTGTGGAAACCAGCATGATGCCACATAGTCCACCTTGCTGGGTGCTTGGGGCTGATGTTATGCTGTGTAAGCCCCAAAAGGTGATTCAGTCCCTGGTTTCCTTTAGCTCAGCCCACATCTTGTGGCTGTGGCAGCCCATATTCCACCCCTGGAGGATCGCTGTGCTATCCTCTAGTTTCAGGATGATTCATGCACAGTTGTACTCATGACTGGGTGTTTCCAGTTCCTCCTTGGGCAGCAGCTGTAGCAGACCTCAGGATTGTGCTGCCTCCACGGCTCTTTTCCAATGCCAGGAAGTGGGACTCGCAGGGTGGAGCAGAAACTGTGAGGAGGAGCCATGACTAATGCCAGCCTGGCTGCCAGCCCTGTGTCCCCTGCTTGGTGTTGGAGGAGGAGAGGAACCAGCCTGAGCGCAGCGGAACTGAGCAGAGGGAGAGTATATCTTGGGCAGGATTTGGTTTCTTTCTGAGCAGGGTGTTCTGCCCATTCAGCAGAGCATCATCTAATTTCTTCCATGTGTTTGGAGGGTGGGAAAGTTCCCTGCCCAGCCGCAGCCTACTGTCTGGCTGCTCTGTGCTGAGCACACGCAGGTTATGAGGCAGCAAGCAAAGCCTGGTGATGCCGCTTCTGTGAGAGGCAGCCAGTGTTTCTGTCATCTCCACACCCTTCCCCATGGGAAGCCTTTGCATCTCCACCAGCTTCTGCAAGCAACTTGGAATCATCGAATCACAGAATGGTTTGGGTTGGAAAGGGCCTTAAGACCATCCAGTTCCACCCCCCTGCCTTGCTCAGGGACATCTCGCGCTAGACCAGGTTTTTCCAAGCACTATCCAACCTGGACTTGAACACTGCCAAGGATGGAGCATTCACTTCCATGGGCAGCTTGTTCCAGTGCCTCACCACCCTCACAGAGAACAATTTCTTCTTTATATCTAACCCAAATCTCCCCTGTTGAAGTGTGAACTCATCACCCCTTCTCTTACGGATGAAGAGACCCTCTCCAGCATCATTCTAGCAGGCAAGCAGATGCTGGGACTCTGCTGCCCTCTGCTGGGACAGCTCAGGCTCTGTAGAAGAGGCCAAGTCCCCAGCCTGGCCGCCTGAGGGGCATGTTTGATGTTCCCGTTCAGTTTCAGGATTTATGGGCAGCCCAGTGTGATATATGCAGCCCTCTGCCCTGGACTAAAGCAGTGTGGCTTTGTGCTGCCTTTGAACCTGGTGACTTGTCCCAGTCTCTGTTCTTTCCACACTGTTCCAAGGACAGAGACACCTTGGGTGGCTAAGAAGAGCTGGCAGTTACAGGACAAATGATGCATAGAGCATCCCTGTCTTAACCTGGATCTCGGTTAGCAGGTAGTAAGTGGTGCAGAGGTCTTTATTTTTAAGCAGGCAGATTTTCGCATCCTTTCTGTAAAATAAAGTGTGCTTTCTTCATTTGTTTCCCAATGCAGTTCACGTGCCAATATGTACTCTGTTGTAGTGGTTCTGGATTTAAATGTCTGTGGTCCAGTGCAGAACAGAGGTTTCTAAACAAGTTGCTCTGTGCAGTTGTGCAAGCCACTCCATCACAATGCTATACCCATGCTTAGGCTGCTGTTCTCTCTCACAGGAATGCACTGGTGCTGCTGTAAAGGGAGCCTGGGGTTCAGCTGTGAGCCAGAGCCATTTTTGCCCTGCTTTCTATGTTATGGGATATCATTTGAGTCCCCAGAAGACTGGGAAAGCTGATGAGGGGCTTGTGAATACATCAGTAGGGTGTGGGGACATAACAAAGTATATCTGAGCCTATCACATGGTTGTACCAAGCAGGTGACATCCTTCCTCTGGCTGTGTAGCAGCCCAGGCTCAGTAGGAGCTGTGCTTCACCAGGAAACCCTATTTTCTTATTTGATCCTACCTCTTTTAGTTTGACAGGGCTGTGAGCTAAAGCTGGGCACAAGGTCCATGGCACTGCTTGGTTTGTATAGACCTGGATTCCTTTGCTCAGAAATGTAAATTCCAGCCCCCTGCAGGTGGGGCTGCAATTGTGCTGTTTGTGTTTTGTTCGAGCCTCAGTGAAGAGCTTGAGTGTTTTCTGTCTGTATTGCTAGTTCCTGCTGATTTTCCATAAAGCTGCAGCTGGGGAGCTCGAGGAGGACAGCGGCCTGTTGACTCTTGCAAAGCTCTCGGAGATAGATGTCTCCATTGAGGGAGTCAAAGGAGCCAAGAACTTCTTTGAAGCTAAGGTATGGTGTGTCACAGAGAAACATGAAAAAGCTCTGTATGCAGGCCTTAACTGCCACCGAGACACTGAGCCTCCTTGCTTTTGAGTAGAAGATATGCCTAGTGTTACTTCCTAGCTAAAAGGATGCATATTTCATTCTTCTCACCCCAACCTCAGCTATAGCTTTTCCCCTCAAATTTTGTTGGACTCTGTCTATATCCTTCTGCAGATCTGTCAATGCTACAACAGCTTAATTCACTACCTCTGCTTTGGGTCTTGCAGGGTCAGCCACAGGGACTGGCCAGCCTGTGTCTCTGTGGCTGTGAGCTCTATGGGAGAAGATGGCTGACTGCTTTTAAAGACAAAAGTATCCTGGAAACTAATGCAATAGGGACAGTGTTTCCCATTTTGCAAAACCTCCCTCAACCAGAACACTCTGAATTCAGTGGTGAATGGAGTGTTTTGGAGTATAAGGTTTCAGACATCTCTTTCTCGAGCAGCTCTCTAACCTTTGGAATCAGAATTATTCTACAGGGTCCTGGGGTTGGCAGAAAGAGCTTTGCACCATTCAAATCTGACAAAGCACCCTTTTTGAAAGCTCTCTTGGAGAGAAAATAATCCTGCTTGTTTATACAAGTTTTTTTTTCCCAAGAGCATAGCACAGCTCTTGCCCAGCAGATGTACTGAGATGAAAGCTGGAAAAATAGCCAGCAAATAAACAATGTCTCTTTGATCTGCAGATTATCCATGGTGTAGTATGATGTTCTCAGATTTGGCTGTCATTCAGAACTGTCTTCTGCAGTAGTTTCTCCCACCGTACACTCACAACTTACGCTATGCTGCCTGCCTACAGAAAGAATGTGTGTGACCCAGTACTGAGCATCGTTTTGGTCACTTGTTAGTGACTTACTAGTAAACGACCTTTCTTTTTTTGATGTTCAAGTCAAGCAAGCTAACAGGTACTGCATGTAAATACCCAGGCATTGCAGTGTAATTAATACTTGAGCCACCCTGGCAGAGCACTGCGTGACACAGCAAACAGTTCTCCATTGCTCATCTGGGAGTAGTTTAGGCTCTGGCTCCCCCTCTGCAAGGCTTGATATGCTTTTATTTTCTCTTTCTCATAAAGGTTCAAGCCCTCTCTTCAGCCAGTAAGTTTGAAGCAGAGATAAAAGCTGAGCAGGATGAGCGAAAGCAGGAAGAGGAAGAGAGGAAACACCGCCGAGCAGCTTTCAGGGAGTTAAAGTCTGCATTTATCCAGTAACCGGCCAGCCAATATGCACTCTGAGATTGCACGTGACTTGGTACGTTTCCCAAATTAGGGCTCTACCTGGAGAGAACTGCTTGGATCCTGCCTAAAACTTGTTACCGCTTTGCTAACCTTCCTTTCCTGAAGATCCTCCTGAGTATAAGGGCACAGTTCTTGCAGTTACTATGCATTCATAACAATGTGAATCCTAAGAGCTGTGTACATGCTGTTGTGCTCTGAACTGTCAGGAGTACATCACCCTGAAGCAGACACAGCAGGTAGCAAATCATGGGTGAGCACTGACGAGTGTCATGCTTACCTACTTTATTCTTTCCTTCTTTTCTATACGTTCTTTTTCTCTTAACACCATATTAATTAATTCCTTCCTTGCAGGCAAGTAGTGAGGTCTTGTGTAAATCAGGGTGTACAAATTACAGCTTGACTTCCTGTATGTTTGTATTGCTGTTGGGTGTTGTCACCCTTTTCTTTCTCAAAGCCCTGTGCCACAGGCACTGTGAAAACACTGTGAAGAGAGAAAGATAGTTACTAGGACATGGATCAAATTAGTTACCATTTCCTGTAGTTTTTCTGCCACCCAGCATGTTGTAGAGTCTTCCAGTTTTTCTTCTCTGAAGTGCCATAGTTACAAATCTTTCTATAAGAGGCAAGAATTCCCCAGACTTTGAAGGGAGGAAGCTGGCTCTCTCTTAAATGAGGAATAGAAAACTGAATTGCCTGACCATGTATCTTCTTTCACATTCCATCACATTTAGTGTACTGTACGGCTTCACTGTATTTTCCAGCCTTAGGCAGCTGTATGTGTTTTTAAGGGATATTGCCAGCTGGACAATGCAATCAGATGGCACAAGGGGTTTTCTATTTGGAAATCCTGAATCATGAAGGTGACATTGTGATTTTATTAGAGCCATGACATACCATCAGCCCAGCATATTGAGCAATCCCTGCTCAAGAAGGACAGAGCAGCAAGGTGAGCACATTTAGCTGAACTGAAATCAGAGGGCTTGCACTGTACTATTAGCCATTTTCTTCTGCAAACACAGGAAACTTGTCCACAAATGTTAAAATGCCCACTGCTCATCTGGATACATACACTGTAGGTCAGGGGAGCTGTGTTCCCTCTGAGACCTCTCTTGAAACATGGGTTTGCTCAAATTTTGCCTCTGCTATTGCCCCACTTTATGCTTCTTTTCTTTCCAGAATGAAACTCACCAGTTATGTTTTAATTTGTCTGTTTTGCTTCTTAAACTGTGAGCACTAAACTGTGAGCATGGAATAATAAATAGAAAAAAACTCTCTTTAATGTCAGGTGAAAGAATTGCTAAACAATTAAACTGTGTATATATATCTTCACAGATTATATTTTATAAATCATGCTTTTTTAGCTAAATATTTATAATTAAATGTTTTTATACTTTACAACAAAGCAGATAATTTCATCTTTCAATTATTTCTCCTGTTGCTGAAATGTACAAATAAAGCATTGTTATCTTCTGTCTTGTCTGCGATTTATCTTAGGTCCCTGACTCTACCATTTTGTTCACAAATTACGGTAGTGATCCCCAGAACTGTGTCTTGACTTGGATGAATAAGGGAAGTATTCTCAGGCAGATGCTCAATAGCACTTCCCCGTCTGTGCAGCAGTTCTGGTGTAAAAAGCCCTAATGTTTGCAATTCCTCAGAAAGGGATGTGGCTGTTTAAATATTTGAAATACTGCCCACTGCTAAATGCTGACATCTGAAGGTTTTCAGCCTTCCATTATCTTAAAATAGCCACTGTCTCAGCTGTGGTAGTGCCCCAGCTGGGATCTAGGCAGGTTGCTTCAGCTATGTTTCTCTTAGCATTTTCTCCTGCTGCATTTATAGAAAGGAGGGAGGGAGTACATGGACATCTGAAAATGGGTCCAAGCATCTTGTTCTTACTGTTGCTGATGTGCTAACCACTGACCACTGGCATGGTCAATTTGGGAAAAGGGAGGGTGTGCTCAGGAGGAGGTTTAACAATGCATCATTTCAGGTATAGTCCAGTGGTGAAATGGAATATGTGAATAATTTATCCAGTGTGACTCCTACTCTGTGCATTGTCAGCAGTTGATGCTGTGTGTCTGTGGGCCATTGGGTCTCGGAGGTGAGTTAAAATCAGGATGAAGGCTCCTTAGTCTCTGCTTCCAAGGAAAACTGCAACACTGCAGCTTTTTATTTTCTTCTTCCCACTGCTTACTTGTGCTGTTTTGCACGTGTAGCTGTGTGAGGAGATGGGGACAGCAGGAAGAGAGGGTGGGAAAAGGGCTTGCAGTGGTTTTATTCCAATAGACGCCGGTCAACTCCAGTTGACAAACTTCAATAAGGAAGTGAGCAAAGTGTGGTATTTGTGTTTAGCTCCAATAGGTGCTGTTAGCTGCAGCTTTCATTCAGTGCAATGAACAGTAAGTGTTTTTGGGTGTGCATTTATTTTGAATTTAGCTTTGCAAAAATTGACACTGGGAAATTAATTGGGTTCTAAATTGCTTTGTTTTGCTGGCAATTATTGGATTGAATAACCATGTCATTAGGTTATGCAAAAGTACTTAAAATTGCTTAGCAAAACCTCCCATCTAATACTTACTGCCTGACAATGCTTAATTGTATTTACCTATAATTAGCATATACGATCCTTGATCCTCTGACCTTTCATGCCTGATGTCACCACAGGTGGTTCTTAAGGGTCGTGGCAATCCCAACTCTTTACTGATACCTGCTGGTGCATCAATGCTGCTCTGGCATTCCTGACATGCCCCAAGTGGCACTAAGTAGAGAAGGCTGATTAAAAGCCTGTTGTGCTTTTGGGTCTTTCCCTGAAGAGAAAAAGACTTGCCTCAAGTCACTCATCTCCTAGAATGGGAACTCCAGATGGTCGTTGATCCCTCGAGGGTTTTTGTTTAAAGTTTCCCAGAGTAGAAGATGTACGGTAGAGAAGTCACTAGCACTTCAGCCAGCACTGAGGATGGCTTTAGCCTGTGTGGATATACAGATCACAGTGTGTTTCTCAATGACACTTCTGTCTTAGGCATTGTTGTTGGCTTCAGGGGACAGTGTTTGTTGCCTAAAAAGCACAGTGTAAACACGGTCAGGAGAGAAAGGGAAACAGTATGATCAGGTTCTTCCTGGCCTAGGGTTCAGGGTTTGTCTGTGAGGATTAAGGTGACCAAATCATATTTTAACCTTATGGGAGCATCCAAATAAATTCCTTCCAAGATGGATTGGAGTAACTGAAGTGCTTTATTGTTGCCTTTCAAACTCAGCTTGTCACATGGGTGAAAGATCTTAAAATAACTGTGTTGCAGAACGAGCAGTGTGTTTGCGGTAATGTCTTTTAAGCCATCTGAGGGTGATGGATGTGTTGAAGTGACTGACTTGAAAAACCTACAGTTGGATGTTCACCTGCCTGCCTTTGTCTGTTGCTTTTATTATTTTTAGGGATATGCCAGAGGACATGGAAAAATGGGCTGTTGGGAAGACAATGACACTTCTTAGACAAAATCCCTGATATTTTGACAAACAGGGAAGCCACTTTTCCAAATAACAAAAAAGTGAGGGTGACAAGGGGAAACGTGACAGACTGCTGCATCTTCTGGGCTGCTTTATGCCATTGTTTACCAGTTCAAGGCTGTGCTCTGTTTGTTGTTCCACTGTTGTAGTAAAGGAGGCAAGCTAAGGTGGGTGAAAGCAATGGGTCAATGAGGAACTTTTTAGTCTGTTAGGAATGCCTCTTACTTGTATGTGGGGTTTTAACAGTGAGGATGAATTGGCATGGAAAGCCAGGGCTCTGAAGTACATCATGTTCTCGGTATCCAGAGTAGCTGCTGGGGTATTTCATTCCTACCTTGTATCAGCTGAAGTCCTGTAATTGAAACATGTAGGAATTTACCCCCACGGGTACAGCACTGAACTTTTATGACAGTCTCCCTGTTCTGTTTGGATGAGTGTTGTGGAGGATTTAAGATGCATCTGCTATTACCAACCCCCAGAAACTCATCCGAGTTTCCTTAAGGTATTTTACAAAAATGCCAAGTTCTGCAAATGAGGCATGCTTCAGACACTCTTGATTTCTTTTGTCTCAATAATACAATGCTTGTGCTAACTGGGATAAAAAGTTTCCCGCAAGTGCTAAACTTCCCACATCTCAGAAGAAGCTTGTCTTAGAACATGTGAAAACGTTTTTGAGTCCTCAGACTCGTGTTTGGTGAGTAGAGTAACAAGGTGCAGCCATTTCTACAGTGAAATTAGAAGTTCTTACTGAGGGCTTCAAAGACAGTGCTGCCTCTCTTCCTCCCCACACCATTATTAGTTATTGCGTCAAGCTGCGTGACAACAGCCAGGGGGATCAAATGCAGCTTATCACAGGCCAGCCTTTTGCTAAAGGGAGCTTTGCTTTTACATGCCAGCCTCCCTAAAGGAGGAGTTCAACTCTAAGTTTTTTGGGTGAAGTAGTCCTGTGTTGTTCTAAGCTAAAAACAAGCCCCAAGGATTAGACGCTTTCAACCCGTTCACTCAGAAGAATCGCTTGTGTTCACTGTTGCATCAGTTTTGGCTGGTGTTCAGTGCACAATGACAAGTATTTATTCACCTAGAAGCAAAGGGAGAAAGCTACATGGACTGTGACAGAAATCACAACTGGAGTGAAATTGTTTCAGCTGAAAATGGTTGTAACTTCAATAGCGCATAATAGACAAGAATAGTTTTTTAGGCTGAAGGAACCACATGGGGCTATTCTGCATCATAGACTAATATGGGTTTGAGGACTAAAAATAAGACAGTTATGTTTAGCAAAAAAAAAAAAAAATTGAGCTTGTCATTTTCCCCATCAGGAAACTCAGAGTCAAAATATGTGCACCTAATGCCCTTTTTCTGTCAGTGTCAGCATCCTCCTTCCCAGCTGTATCCCACAGCAGCATACCTGCAGGGCTCCTCTGGTGCAGGGGTGAGAGTGGGTTTGACCCTCTCGCACCAGGGATAATGCATGAGCTCAAAACAGGGTTGCTTCCCAGAGGTAAGGAAGATTTCTATGGCCTTGTAGTGCCACCAGTAAAGCTGAGTTACCTACATGCAAGCTAATGGGAGAGAAACAGTAAGGCTGCAGGTGGGAGATTATACCTTGAGAAAGATGTCTACTGTATGGAAAAGGGCTTGGAGTATTGTGCGTGTTTGCTTAGAGCTTTAAAAAATCCTTAATATCTACAGGTGTGGATAATTATGGAACTTCCTGCACATGTACCAAAGACATTGCAACCAACCCTGGAAGAACTGAAGTTAGAAAGTGCTATACTTCTATACAAGTGCATTGATACTAAGACCAATAAGCAACATTGCTAAGGGCCTTTGAAGGAAATTCCGTACAAGCTTTTCTTGATCACCGTAATGGGGTCAAAATTCATGACCAAATGGAAAACTATTTGAGACATTTTTATAGTGATACCAAAGTTTTGCCATGGCTTAGAGGGCAGAGTGTGAAAAGCACTATGTCTCTTGAATCAGTTTTGTGTTATAAGCAGAAACTTTGCGTGAAGTCTCTAAATGGAATAAGTATAGGAAATTAAAACCATTAATTTATAATTGTGTACCTATACAGCAAAACATTGCAGGCAGTTTCTTGTTTGGCCTAGATCTGTGTCAAAATAGCAAGTTTAATAGTTGGGTGATCAAATTGCGTTTGGTGGGGGTAGTTTCGGGGTGGGGTGTTTTTTTATTATTATTTTCTTAATATTGTTTTTCATTTCTCTAACTTCTGTCTTGAAAGAAACCCATGAAGAGCAAAATCAGGCTATAGTAATTTTCTTTTGAGGAGAAGTCACTAGCATGTGATTGGGTAATATGAAATCTTAAATGGCATTAGTGATGCACAGTAGATTTAAGAGGATAGCAGGGTAATGCATTTAGGCGACAGCCTTTTATGCTATTCTTTGTCTCTATGCTACCACTGCTAACCCTTCAGCAGTGTGCCTTGGATCTAGTAGTGATCTTTGAATGGAGGAAGCTTTGACAGTGAAACAGCTTGTAAACCAGGATTCCTTTTGGCTGAGGTTGTCTGTACTGATATCTAACTCCTGCTACGGGGCTTGGAGCACCCTGCTCTAGTGGAAGGTGTCCCTGCCCGTGGCAAGGGGGTGGAATTGGATGAGCTTTAAGGTCCCTTCCACCCAAACCACTCTGATTCCATGGCGACGACCGCTGCTGCAGGAGGCAGGGCGGGAGCAGCAGCCGGTCTCACGGGGAAGGCGTCAGCGCCGACCCGGCCGCCGGCGCACAGCGGGAGGCTGCAGTGCGCCACTACCTCCGGCTGGGGGCGCCCGCTTTCCCGCGGGAGTGAGGGGCGCTGTGCGCGCAGCTGCGGCGCCGTCACGCGGGCGGGGCCGGGATGCGGGGGGAGCAGAAAAGGAGCCCCGTCGCCCATCCGGGTTCTCCGCGGCGGAGGCAGATGGGCGGGGCCTTGCCTCACGTGACGTTGCGTGGCGGCGCGAC